ATAATTGGAAACAATTAACTGTCTTTAATGCAGTTGCTGAATGAAGTTTGTTTGTTTGTTTGTTTGTAACAGATGTATCCTTGAGAGAATTTAAAATACTAGACTGGGTTTCAGGTTTGAGATTTTCTTCTTCTATATCAAGCATGTATGATTGAGAGCTCCTTGAGATTGTTAGAAGTTTTTCTTCTTCATCTCCACAGGGATCCTGAGGTCTGCCTTTGTAAATATTGAGTTAGTGGGAATGATGTGGGTATAAGGTATCATGTAGGTGGCATGAAGATATGAAGGGGCATGGGGAGTGGGTGGAGACATGCATTGGCATGGAGACCATGGGGTGTGAGGTAACATGGAGGTGGGGACATGAGGTGCCATGAAGTGATGAAGGGCAGTGAATGGGGTGTGAGTGGGTGTGAAGGATGACAGCCCTACAGCTTCTAAAATAACTACAATGAAGTCCTAGAGATCTGCATCAAAAGTTGGTGTGTCCTACAGGGTGGGTGGCATTCCACTCCTACCTATCTGGAACAAAAATCAGCTTAAACCACAAGCCAGTTTAGCCTGTTCCTGCCCCACCAAGCTCATTTCCTCCTGCCTTGACTCCTTCCTCTCTCCACTTGTCCAGACCCTGCCCACCTACATCCACAATTCCTCTGATGCCCTCCAACATATTGACAATTTCCAGTTCCCTGGCCCTAACTGCCTCCTCTTCATCATGGATGTCCAATCCCACTATATCTCCATTCCCCACCAGGATGGTCTGAGAGGTGTCAGCTTTTTCCTCAACCAGAGGGCTGAACAATCTCCATTCACCACCACTCTCCTCTGCCTGGCTGAACTTATTGTCTCACTGAACAATTTTTCCTTTTAATTCATCTCACTTCTGCCAAATCAAAGGAGTGGCTATGGGCACCCACATGGGTCTCAGTTATGCCTGCCTCTTTATGGGGTATGTGGAACAATCCTTGTTCCAGTCCTATACTGGTCCCCTCCCACAACTCTTTTCTCAGTACATTGATGACTGCTCAGTGCTGCTTCATGTTTCCACTGCAACCTCGAAAAATCTAAATAAAAACCAAAAGAACTGCGGATGCTGTAAATCAGGAACAAAAACAAAGTTGCCGGAAAAGCTCAGCAGGTCTGGCAGCATCTGTGGAGGAGAAAACAGAGTTAACATTGCGGGTCGGGTGACCCTTCCTCAGAACTGATGGTGGCTGGGAAAACGTCAGTTTATATGCAGAAAATAGGGAGGTGGGTGGGGTAGGGAGTAAACGATAGGATAGAGCCCGAAGAGAGAGAAAGACAGTTGGACAGACAAAGGAGTTGCTAACGATCAGGCTGGGAGGGTGAATAGTTGCTAATGGGGACTGGTAGTGACTAACAACAGGGGGTGCGTAATTGCAGGCTATGTGATAACAAGGCCCGGTGTGTTGGGTAGGGGGCTGGGACATGGAAGAGTTTAGGCCCTAAAATTATTGAACTCAATATTGAGCCCGGAGGGCTGTGGGGTCCCCAAGCGGAAAATGAGGTGTTGTTCCTCCAGCTTGCATGGGGCTTCACTGGAACACTGTAGCAAGCCGGAGACAGAGATGTTGGCCAGGGAGCAAGGTGGTGCATTGAAGTGGCAGGCAACAGGTAGTTCAGGGTCCTTTTTGCGAGCAGAACGTAGATGTTCTGCGAAGCGGTCGCCAAGTCTACGCTTCGTTTCCCAGTGTAGAGGTGACCACATTGTGAGCAGCGATTGCAGTAGACCAGATTCTTGGAAGTGCAGGTGAAGTGTTGCTTCACCTGGAAGGGAAGTTTGGGCCCTTGGATACTGGGGAGGGAGGAGGTAAATGCGCAGGTGTTGCACCTTCGCTGGTTACAGAGGAAGGTGCCGTAGGGCTGTGGGGAGGTGTTGGTGGTGAAGGAAGTATGGACCAGGGTGTCCTGGAGGGAACGGTCCCTGTGGAAGGCGGACAAGGGAGGGGAGGGGACCTTAGGCACTTTATAGCCTTCTGGACCTAATATTGAGTTCGACACCTTCAAATTGTGAACCAACTCACACTTCTTCCCTTTCTTTTAGCTTTAGTTGTTACATTAGCTGTCACCATGTCCTCTCTGCCATCCCCCCAACCCAGTGGGACTGTCTTCACCATTGTTCTGCAATTCTCACATTCCAGTCACTTAATCTAAACTATCAACCTCTTTTCTCCACCAGCACCTTACACTCCATCACACCCACACACATCACCACACCTCCCTCCACCAAACCTCAAACTATAGCATAAATGCTGTCCCCTTCACACTTCACCTCGGCTCTGATGAAGAGTCATCCAAATTCGAAACATTAGTTTTATCTCATTCCACGGGTGTTGCCTGACCTACTGTGCTCTCCAGCATCTGTTGCTTTCAGTACAGATTCCAGCATCTGCAGTAATTTGCTCCTACTTAGTTTAAACCAAGACAGGTCTGCCAAATTGGGAAATTGTCAGACAGCATCTGCTTGTTAATTCATTTATTCTCAGGACATTGATGTTGATGAGGATGGTATTTAGTACCTATTCCCAATTGCTCTGATAAGGTGGTAGAGGGTTTTTTTGAACCATTGGTAATGGTTAATTACAAATTCATATCTGCCTGAAACGTCAGCCTTCCTGCTCCTCTGATGCTGCTTGGCCTGCTGTGTTCATCCAGCTCTACACCTTGTTATCTCAGATTCTCCAGCATCTGCAGTTCCTGCTATCTCAGGCCACTTCAAAGGGCAGATAAGAATCAATTTTGGAGTCACATACAGGCCACAATTAGTAAGGGTGTTGTGCTTTTGTCATTAAAGGACATTAGTGAACCAATTGAGAATTTAGACTAATTTGAGAGCCTCCTGATCACTTTAACTGATACCAGTTACTTATTTCTAGATTATTTTTAACTGAATTTAAATTTTAACATTGCCACAATGGAGATACCTTTGACTTTAGACAATTAGACAATTCTGCGGTATTATTATGATCTCAGCTGATGTTACTATTGGAGAAGTCAGATCACAGAATGAAATTTAGCTTGATAGACGACATATTGTTATTTAACATGGAGGTTATTCCCTGAAAAATAGGCACACAAGGTTGCAAATTTTGTTTGCAGAACTTTATTTCACAAAAGACAAAAATAAAACAAGCTATCTAACTTTAAAACACCGTTTGAAAGATCTTAAAACACAGCAAAACAAAATCTTATCTATTCCCCAACACGATCACTCTACAGGTATTCAAATCCAGAGAAATCATCCGCACTGTATCACATAAGCCAAATAGGGATCAGGTCCAACGGTAGGCCTTTGCTAAGTTAAATGATCTCATCATGATCTCACCAGTTCTGAGGAAGGGTCCCTTGACTTGAAACATTAACTCTGGTTTCTCTCCACGGATGCTGCCAGACCTGCAGAGCTTTTCCAGCAATTTCTGTTTTTGTTTCATCATGGTTACAAGTAGGAGAACCAGAATCAGCCCTAGCTTATAGGATGCAATGAATAGACCATGGCTCCTATTCGTCATCATCACCTAGTAATCGTCTGCTGGAAAATGTATGTCTGATGACACTCTGATTAATCCCTTCAAATATGTAATCACTGTTCTTTTTCACAGAAAAGGCACTATTTCCCTTTCATGAAGCCATGCTGACTCTCCTTTGATTAGATTATGATTTTCCAAATGTTCTGTTATTACTTTCTTATTAATTGATTCAACTATTTTTCAAGATCAGATGTTTGGCTAATCAGCCAATAGTTAACCACTTTTTCCTCCTCCCTTTTTTTGAATGGCGACATCACATAGGCTGTTTCAGAGATGATTCACTTGGATGATCCCTCGTATGGAGGGAATGTCTTATGAGCGAAGACTAAACAGGTTGGGACTCTATTCACTAATGTTTAGAAAAATGAGAGATGATCTCATTAAAACCTACAGGATTCTTAAAGGGCTTGACAGGGCAAATGCTGAGACTGTTTCTCCTCATGAGAAAGTCTAGGACCCAAGGGTATGGTCTCAGAATAAAGGGGCGCCAACTTGAGGGAATTTCTTCTGAGGGTTATGAGTATTTGCAACTCCTTGCCACAGAGAGCTGTGGGGCAAAACACTAAGATAGATAGATCCTTGATCAGTAAGGGAATCAAGGGCTACTGGGAAAATGCAGGAAAGAGGATGTGAGAAATATCAGATCAGCCATGACCCTATTGAACATCAGAGCAGGCTTGAGGAGCTGAATGGTATTGCTCCTGTTCCTATTTCTTATGGACAGTAAGGATGAAAGTTAGTAAAGGGTGTAAAATATTAGGGATGCTATATTTCCACTTTGAAATGTAAGGGCTAGATTTGCTAATAGGATCAGCAATCACCACAAGGGAGAACATTAGAGAAAAAGAAAATAAATTCGCACTTGGTGATACAAACAGTTGATTGAATTGGTTTCAATGGGAAAAACTTTAGTTGAGGTATAACGCAGGCTATTAGTTTGCCATCAATCGTTTTGTGCTATCACCCAAGATACACAAAATACCTAAATTGTTGCCAGGGCAGATCACTAGTCCTTTATGCAGGTTTTATATAGGTTAATCCATAGTAATGACTGCAAATGTTAGGAATGAACCTTAAATAGCCATTTAAAGGACAACTCATGAGGCTGATTCTTATTACTTACATTGATTTCTACTTCCATTCCTGCCTTCTCTGCAGTGTTGCTGATGCCCTTTGAATTGCCACTGGCTACCTTTGTGAATAGGGTTATGTTGGTGCCTTTCTGTCTCATGTAATATGGTGTTCTGGAGGATTTTGGCAGTGTGGACAAGAGGTTGGCAATACTGCAAACCATGACTGGTAAGTTATTTATTCAATTGCTGATTTTCAATTAACCTGGAGAGTTTCACAAACAGTTTGGCATAGTTTCCAAATAAAATATTTTCCTCTGAAAAATTATCATGTTTACACGAAAGAGAGTTTATCTAGTGAGACATGCCAAAAAGTACATATTTATAAGAAAGTGGTTGACAATTGAGCTCATTTCCAATTTCAATATGTTGCAGCACATATTGTTGACTCTATTCTTCAGTAAGCATTGGCCAGAACTTGAAATTGTTTGCTTCTTCTCATTAGCTTAGAATGCATTAGCTGAAAAAATGTCAATTTTGTTTACCAAATGCTAATTCTTTTCTTTGTTTCTTTCCTATTTTGCATTTGTCTTGCTATGTAGTTGGGCCTATCGCTGCAAGCCCATTAACCGGCCGTGTTATTGCTGGACAGGAAGCCAAACCACACAGCTGGCCATGGCAGGTAAGGAGATCTCGCTGACTGCAGACTACCAGACAGTCAGAACACGGGAACACTGTTACATCTTTCAAGTTTGAACTTTAAGTCTACCAGATTTCAATTCCTTAAATTACAGATAAAGTTAAGGATAGAAGTGGATTAGGCGTGTGGGCACATATTTGGTAAATGGAATATAATCTGAGAAAGTGGGAACGTGGTCACTTTGGCAGGAAGAATCTAAAGCAGCGTACGTATCAAATCTGTGGTACAAAGGGATGTGATATCCTAGTACACAAACCAGAAACAGTAAGAATGCAGTTACAGCAAATGATTGAGAAGGTGAGTTAATCTTAATTGCTACAGGAATGGAGCATAAAGGTAGGGAACTGTTGCTATAGCTGTATAAGGACTTAGTAAAACCACATCTGGAATACAGTATACAGTCCCATTACTTAAGGGAGGATAAGCTGCATTGGAAGAAGTTAAGAGAAGATTCACTCATCTGATTACCATTCTTTCTTATGATGAAAGGATCAGGAACTTGGCGTACACTCATTGGAGTTTAGAAGAATGTGAATTAAACTTTTTGAGATATATATGATTCTGACAGGATATTAATTCTGGGAGGATGTTTCTCCTGTGGGGATGTCTAGAACTAGGGGACACAATTTAAAAATAAGGGGTCTCCCATTTAAGAAGGAGATGAGGAGGATTTATTTCTTTAAGTGTCAATTGGACTTTGGAATTCTCTTCCCCAGAGAATAGTCCAGGTTTGGTGATTAAATATCTTCAAGGCTGAGTTAAATAAAATTTTAGCTAACAGGGGAGTCAAGAGTTAGTTAGATAGTTAGTTAAAAATGCCAGATTTCTTGTGCACTAGGGGAAAATGAGAAGAAGTGAAATGTCTAGTTTTGAGCAGAGTGGGATAAACTTTAGTATTTTAAAGGCATTACCCACTGATAAATGAAGAAGTATGACTGGAAAGTTGAAGATAGGATTTAGATCAAAAGCTAAGAAACAAGAAATTCTGAAACCAGTGGTCAACAATCCACGTAATGAATTGGGAAAGCCAGAGGGAAGAGTAGAACTGGGAGTAGACAAATTAGCTCTAGCAATAACAAAAATGGGAAATCCTGGAAAAACTCGGTTGCATCTGTGGAGAGAAAGCAGAGTTATAACACTTATAGAAATGAATTCAACAATGGTACATCTTCAGTGTAATCTTGATAAAGATAAGTTTCAAAAGTCTCTATGAAGTACCATGAGAAAAACTTAGAGCAGTAAAATAAATTATTGACGTATCAGAAAAGTTGGTTGAGTGCAGAATTAAAAACCAAGACTGACAAACTACTGGAGATTCATAGTAAAAAGAAATAGTGAAAGGCTTATATTCAGATGCAACCTGGAGAATAAGAATGAGAAGTTACTCAGGAATTTAAGGGAAGAACTTAAAGTTTAGAAGACTTTAAAAGCAGCTAAAGAGAGCAAAAACCCACAGTGCAGATTTATTCATTTGGGGTGAATCAAACAATGAAACAACAAAACCTATTATGGAAAAAAATTATTAAGGAAGATAATTTGAAGTTGAATGTCAATCAGAATAACGTGTTTTCCATTATAAACTTGAAGGATTGTTGAAAGCCCATGAGAAGTAAAAAACAGGAAACCTCCAGGTGGCTTTGAAGAAAGTGATTGATGCATTGCATGAAATGCTGAACATAGAACAGTACAGCACAGTACAGGCCCTTTGGCCCATGATGTTGTGCCGAACTTTTCCCCTAAACCTAAGGTCTATCTAACCTCCACCCCTACCTTATATTATCATCCATATGCCCATCTAATTGCCACTTAAATGCCCCTACTGAGGCCGACTCCACTACCCTCTCCGGCAATGCATTCCACGCCCCTACCACTCTCTTAGAATAAAGAACCTACCTCTGCCATCACCCCTATATCTACCTCCACTCACTTTAAAACTATGCCCCCTTGTAATAGCTACCTCCACCCTAGGAAAAAGTCTCTGGCTGTCCACCCTATCTATACCTCAGATCATTTTGTACACCTCTATCAAGTCCCCTCTCATCCTTCGTCATTCTAAAGAGAAAAGCCCTAGCTCTCTCAACCTTTCCTCATAAGACCTTCCCTCCATTCCAGGCAACATCTGGGTAGATCTCCTCTGCACCTTTTCCAACACTTCCACATCTTTCCTGTAATGAGGCGGCCAGAACTGGACACAATACTCCAGATGTGGCCGAACCAGGGTTTTGAATAGCTGGAGCATAACTTCACGGCTCTTGAACTCAATCCCTCTATTAATGAAAGCTAACATGCCATATGCCTTCTTAACAACTCTATCCACCTGGGTGGCAGCTTTCAGGGAACTGTGGACATGAACCCCAAGATCCCTCTGCTCCTCTGCCAAGACACTGCCAAGAGTCTTTCCGTTAACCCTTATTCTGCTTTCACGTTTGTCGTTCCAAAATGAATCACCTCACACTTTTCAGGGTTAAACTCCATCTGCCACTTCTCAGCCCAGCTCAGCATCCTATCAATATTGGATTTGAAAATAAAAATGATAAAGCAAAGATACATCAGAATAGGTACATAGGTCTGGATGAAGCAATGTGTCATGAAGTTCAGTGCAGTTGTGAGCCAGCATGCTGGAAATGCAGAAGCAGTATTTGCCTTATGCAACTGAGAAAGAATAGAGCTCAGGAAAATAAAAAAAAAGCAGCAGAATTGGCTTACTGAAGTTCATTGTTTGTGAACATATGCAGCAATGCCTATGAGTAAGTGTTGGAGTACAGTTTCCAGAATCCAGATTCCAGGGATCATAGTCCCAGGAACGAAAAAAGAATCACCAGTACATGAACAGTTGCTGCGGCGGTCTATGACAGAGCAACCATTGAAGGAGCTTCCATACCACATCATTAAAAGATTACAATTGGAACTTCTTGTGAACTTTTAGTAAGACTTGGTGACTCACATGTAGATAATATTTGGGGAGAATTCCATGAGATCTGTCATGTTGTGTTTGCTAATTGATGTGTTCTGTAGGGCATTTGCCATAGTTTGTCTGCTACCCATATGTGTCTCATGTTAATTTTAAGATGCTAGAATATAAGATATGTCTATCTTTTCACCATCAAAATCCTTTTTTCTAACTAATCTTTGCATGTTTGGTTAAGTTTTATTTTATAATAAAATAATTATTCATTGTTGACTGAAGAGTCCTGGGTGATTTATTTTTAATACCAAACCAGATACAGTCTGAGACCTAAAGTAATTGGCAATATCATCATGCTGATTAAGTATAAAATTTTATGTGACTAGTGGAGGAATGGAACTAGAAAGGAAGCAGTGCATCCCTCTAACCTCAGTGATAATGCTTGATTTATTATAGTAACCAACACTACTGCATTGGAATGTTATTTCTATACTTCACATCAGCAGTCCTTGTAGGTCTTTGACATCAACTTACAGGGTTACATTTTTGGTGCTTACTGAGAACAAACACACCTCTGTCTCCATACAGGATGCTCAATGCATTGTTTTGAACCTTTGTATGTTCAAGATGTCCTTAGGTTTTGAAGCCTTAGAGTAATTTTAATGCCTGAAAAAAAGTAATACAACATATATTTCTGATTCTAGGCCTCTCTGCAGTTTGCTTATGAACTTGACCCTGACTTCTTCCAACATATGTGTGGTGGAACCCTCATTTCTGCAAATTGGGTCATGACTGCTGCACATTGTATTATCACGTAAGTACATTGCTTCAAGATATGCAACAAGCAGTTTGTGCAATCATTTTTACATTGGAGACATTCCTTTATACTTACACAAATCAGAATTATAACCTATGCAATATATTAGATAGATATAGGAATTGCTAACCAAAATGACTATCAACATTGCCTTCTATTATCCTAATAGTTACGTAATATAATGATAAAGAAATTGTTGACTAATTATAGCATTCACTCATTATCAATTAATCTACAATCACCAAAAATGACACAAAGAAAATCTGATGGTGGAAAGCTTTGTAAAGTATTGGTCCAATGTCATATTCCTTCAATGCTCACTGTGCTCATTGTTTTGAGTTTCAAATTACTCATTAACTTCACTGTAAAATGTCATTTTCTGAAATAAATCTAATTTCCATTTGAACCAGTATTGCCAGTTTGATAGTTTGACCAAAAGCTTATTGAAAAGTTTTGAACTTGGTTTATTTAAATAGAAGCTGAAATATTCTAGCAAATTACGGGAACTTGTCAGATACTTTATTTATTGTAACATTGACGATAACTTGACATATGTCTTAATATATACGTATTATGAAGTAATTGACTTTTTTTCATCACGGTTTTTGGTCAAAACATACAAATTCAGGTTATTTGTTTTGTTTTTATGGCTTCTCAGTGTTTTAAAGGACCTGTCTTCGCGCATGTAACAACAAATCCCCCTGCAACAAGCCTCACTCTTTTCCAGCATTGGAAGTATTCTCTTGAGAGGATTTTTTTTTGATGCCCATTAGGCATCTATTTTGCTTGAAAAATGAACCTGGACTCAGGAAATTGGGTTGGATTTAGGGCAGTGTCTAAGAGGCAAGCGGAAGATTTACCTCCCTCTTCCACTTCAAAGAAATGAGTTTCCCCCACATTCTCTTGCAAGTGCGGATTTTATTTCCTTTTGTCAAGGAAGACATTAAACCAAGACTTTGTCTGCCTCCTTAGATGGGTGTAATATATCTTATTATTTTAAATTAAAGCAGAGTAATTATCTCTGGTGTGATTTTTCAATACTTACCCCCAACCAATCTCACTAAACTGGTTATCTGGTCCTTGTCTTACTGCTGGTTGTAGCAGGTTGCTACACACATTTTGACTGCTGCATTTTCTACATTACGAAAGTAACTAGACTTCCAAAGTCCTTAATTATCTGTAAAATGCTTTGGAATAACCTTAGAGGAATTGTTCTTTACTTTTCTTTCAGCACACCAGGAAGATTTGCTGTTGTTCTTGGAGAACATGACCTGGAGAACAAAGGCAATGAATATTTGAGACATGTTCAATTGATCATCACGCATCCTCAATGGAATCCCAATTCTCTTGCAAATGGGTAATTCAGATTGACATTTTAAAATTTACCAGTTCATCCACATGGAACTATTCTTAATCAAATAATTCCTGAACAACTTATTTTAAGACATATTTCTCTAGTGCAATGAGGGTAATGGTAAATTATTTATTTCATGTTCTTTCTAAAATTCTTTAAATGCTCCATTGTGTTGGCTCTCCCTCCTTCCGCATCCCTTTATGTTGAACTGAAAATCCATCTGTTCAAATTGCTCTAGAACCAGGAAAGGAGAGGTCACCCTGTTGGGAGTTTTCTATAGGCCTCCGAAAAGTTCCAGAGATGTAGAGGAAAAGATTGCAAAGATGATTCTGGATAGGAGCGAAAGTAACAGGGTAGTTGTTATGGGGGACTTTAACTT